TAAGAGGAGGGATTTTATTGGATCTCAATTTATCAAATTATGGTTGAAGTTCGAAATGACTGTTTCTTATTATTATGGTATATTTTTTGTTACAAAGACACTGCTGACAGCTGGTTATCTCATTGATAAGACCACACATGACTCGCTACTTTAAGTAACATATGAGTTCTTTATTCCTTTTCTTTTGCTTTTGGAGTCAGGTGCATGGTCGAAACACAGCCATTTCTTTTGATAAGATTCATCATAGGGAATTGATGACATCATTTTCCGAGCGATTTGTCCTATGGACAGATGTTTTGAAATAACTCGGCTTTTCTACACCTAAAGCTAAATTATTGTTGAAGTCCCAAGGAGAAATCTGTCGAAATATCGCATTGAACACCGTTGTAATTCCAAATTTAAGTATATCACTATTTCGTATGACGTATTTAGGTTATATAATAATTTTGAAAGAGAAATTTTATACAAAATATATTTTAAATACTGGGAATATATGACGTAGTATGTTTTAGTGGCATCGTGACACCAGTATACGCATTATCATCGAAGGCGCTGTTACAAGAAAATGTTTTATCTTTTCAAACAATACGTAATCAATTAATGGCAAATATTTGCCATATTTATATAAACACATAACATTTGCATTTCTTTCTCGTAATAGACAAAAGAATGTATAACAGCAGACTGTAAAGCTACGAGAGCACAATTTACTATTTCAAAACAAGCAATGGTATCAATATCTAGCCAGATGATCTTGCTGCATTTTAAAACAATTTTCTCCATTTTAGCCTTATGGCTCATTATTATTTCTCTGCCTATCTGCTACAAGTTCTTTTGATGAATGCCTTTCCAAAGAATATTGAACCAACCTTGAAAGTCAATTAACTCGCTTCCTCAAATCGATTTTTCTCAACTAATAATGGAAAGTTAAGGAATAACGCTCGACCTTCCTTTTAAGCCTATACTGAAGTTTGTGATGCTGCTGCTGTATTGAAGCTCATGATTAATTTGACTTTTTCTCTCTGAAATCCAAAGTTCAATTTACAGTGGTTCCAGTGATTACTATCAATAAAAAGTTCTTAATTTTCTGTCTTATCACGATTGTATATGCATAAGTTTATCTTAGTAGTGTGCTAGATAGGTTAATTATTTAATCAATATATTTACCGCTTTCTTAACGCAGAAAATATTGGATTTATTACACTACAAACGATCCTATGATTCATCACTGAAAACTGCAAGGATTTTTCAATAATATTATTGGTAAAATATAATATAGGACCGGTGCATATATTCCATGACCCAAACAGCAACGGTTTAAATGAAAAAGACAAAAAAGCCCACGTTGTTAATCGATTTCCTTTTGCGGAAACGTAATAAAATTATTAAACATATTTGTTTTCAAAACATATTACACCTGGTATAGTGTCGCATTTTCAGGTGAACTTGTACCAATAACCATATTAGACGAATATACATCTAGTATACACAAATTTTAATATTGCATTTTAGCACATATTTATTCCGCGGATGTTTAATAGATTTTAACTTTATTTGATTCATTTTGTACTAGCAGAACCAACAGAGCTTCCAGTCAACAATGCTAATGACACACGTTGACGGTGTCACATGAAATCATGTTTAAGTATTTCATTTATATAAAAATAAGAACAACGGCAGAGACATAATTACCTTGTACGGTAACATTGGTTTCAAAATTAAAATTGGTTAAAGAATCTGTTTTTATGAATGTGTTGGAACATTGTTCAATGGGGATAAGCTTAGGTTTGTAAACATGAAATACATTGGTATACAAACCGTTGCACAACTTGAAATTACAGTTTAAATGTACGACCATGGGTTGCACATGTCCTTTCAGTGGTGATTTATACACACAAAGTGTACAGTCATAACAAAAGGTTCCAAAAGACAAACTGTTAACATTTCATCTACATATGAATTACAATTACACTCAAACAATCAACAGAATATCTCCGTCGTTAACAACATTGTTTCATTATGAATTATTCGTGCATTCTTTCCAGCTAATTTATTCTGAGTATTGCATTCTTAACAACGCTGCAGAATATGTTATGTATAATAAATTTATCTTCTGGGATTGACCTTTATCAGTCACTGAGGGTAGAGTAGTTATGACCTATCTGACTTTTATATTTAAAAAAATGTATTAAATCTGAATTCCAGGTTAACGTCCATACTTAGAATGTTCTTGAAGTGAACTGTTGACCCACATCCTGGTCATTTTACTGTGTCTTATGTTATTATATTAGGCTGAGGTAAACAAAGTTATTTAATTTCTTTTTGAAGCCAGCCTATGGAATTTTCACTATTATGTTCAGTTATAATTTCAGAGGAATCATTTATTTAAAGTATACATTGGAACTTCAAAGTGATCATTGCCTATTCGAACTAAACACATTTTAAGACTATTTTAAATTCATTTCAAGATATTCTGGATTACGTCATTGTCATGCATTTAGACTGCTGGCCTTTTCAAGACTATTGGTACATCAGCACATCTAATATTGTAATTAAGGAAGTCATTTTGATCACTGCACTTGTGTCATGTGATTGAACATTTATGATTATTTGGAATTTAATTCACTATGAGTTCATCTTAAATTTTCACCTTGTAACTTAGAGAAATAATTTTTTAGTTTATTAAACTTTATGGTATCATTTCATACTGTTACATAGTTTAAGACCTAAAGTCGTAACAGTAACGATTTTTTGTCACCTGCACTATTTTCTCTATTTGTTGGAGATCTAGAAATGTCCATACAATCTAGATTCAATATTTATAGAGAGTTTGACAAGTTGTCTAAAGTTTTGTTATTGTTTGCTGACGATTTCGTTTCATTTTCAGAAAACAATTAGAGTTTATGGAAGCTCAAAGATCATTTGTACGATTATTGCATTAAATGTAACTTGAATTTTAACTTTCATTAAACATAAGTTACCATCTTCAGGAAACCCGGTCCATTAGGGCAAGACAGAATGTGGAAATAGACATGGAAGTAGATACTGAATAGCTGAAATTACTTTGGTTTTTTTCGAGACCTCAAAAAAGCGTGGCTAAAAATGCTAGAAAACAATATTGTAACATTTTTGAAAATTGTTTTTATTAAATTTTAATAAATGACTCAAACATTTTGTTGTATATGTTTTTTCGTTATGAGTTATGCACGAAATGTATGGGGCTTTCACCAGGTTGTTGCCGTTGAACGTGTACAACTAAAGTTTTAAAAAGTATTTATTGAATGGAAAAATATCTACTTCTGACGTGTGGACGGTGATCTTGGAAGAATTCCGTTTAAACGCTTATGGTCAGTTAAGTTGGTTAAATATTGGTTTGAAATTAAACATTCTGAATATATTATATCGAGTACGGCATATAAGATGCTGTTTACTCAGGCTGAATCTAATAATAGTAATAAATGGGTTTCTATATCAAAAATGTATAAACAGATTTGGGTTTTGGCAAGAATTTATATTTCCGATTACTGTCCTTTGTTCAAAATTTTTTTAAATTTTAGTTTTAACGAAGGTTATAGATGCTTGTTTTCCTTTCCAAAGACTAGTGCAATACATAACACAATTCCGATAAATTGTCCCTATAAATATATCTATATAAAATGGACCTGGAATTTTATTTCAGATTATTGTGTAACCATAAACACGGATCATCTTTGACAAAACTCCGAGTGTCTTCCTATAACGTGTAATTGAAACTTGGAAATGTAACAGCAATATAATCTATTTAAGTGCAAGATGCTGTATGCTACATGACAATCATGATAGCTAAGATGGACATCCTCTTCTTTTAATTGATCTAATTTATACTAATTTACGTGTAATTTTAGATAAAAAGTGTAATCGTAATTATTGTATCTTAATTAAAATGTGTAATCATAAATAAAAGGTATTTCTGGAACAAACAATCCATATATTTAACTGTTAACTTCTGGTAAGAAGAAAACAGTATGCAATTTAACTAAGTTTTATAGAAAGCGATTGTTATTATTATTATTATTATTATTATTATTATTATTATTATTATTATTATTATTATTATTATTATTATTATTATTATTATTATTATTATCATCATCATCATCATCATCATCATCATCATCATCATCATCATCATCATCATCATTATTATTATTATTATTATTATTATTATTATTATTATTATTATTATTATTAAATATTGTTTACTTTTGTCCATCCTCTAATTTCCAGAATTTACTGACAAACATTTAGAGTTTCTACTTACGTACGTATATCATTTGATAACTACGCAATATTTGTAAATTTATATGTTATCAAAATAAACTTTTCATTCAAAGGTTATTTTTCAAAGAAGCTAATTTCTCTAGGTCTGGTCTCGTCCATATACTATTAACTAATTAACTTACCTCTTTTGCTGCACCCGTGTGTGTCACCATATAAGAGTAAACCTTCCAAAAAGAACTTTAAATTTAAGTTTTATTTGCATCGTGTGTTTTGTGTACACATATATTAAGGTCAACTCTGATAGTAAATAACGTTAAAAACAAACAATAAAAAGGAACTGTTTCTAAGATAATAGTATAATGACACTGAAAATGAATGAGCAAAAACCGTTAATGAAGTCAATGATTCCGGTCATATTAAATGATTTCGACGACGGCGTAGATGCCAAGCAGCCTCGTTTACCTCAACCGCAATACGACTCACAACCAAATTACCCACACATTGAAATATAGTCTTTTATCTCACTGTATGTTACATTTCGGTGTGGTCGTCACACATGAAGCACAATTTAACAAATGGCAAAGAGCTGGTCACGGCAGCAAATGAAGCAGGAGGAAATAGCAAGCCGGTATCTCTGCTTCGTAGTCCGATAATCGTTCCACGAGACTAAAGAATTAGGGTTTGCTAGTTTCCTTGGAGAGTAGCCCCGTATACATCGACTACTACAATCGTAATGGATCGCTCCTGTGGCCTAGTGGTTAGAGCATTCGCCTCGGATGTGGGAGGTCGCGGGTTCAAACTGCAGCCGAGTCATACCAATGACATATAATAAATGCTACTAACTTCTGCCTCTCTAGGACTCTCAGTATTAAGAGGTTAGTGTTACTACCAACTGTCAAACAGCAGATATGACTGAAAAATTGCTAAAGCTACGTTAATAAATCCCAAGCGCACACACACACACACACACACACAATCGTAACAAAGTTTCTGCATAATGTTTTGATTAAAGCTGGATATTGGTTACTAATTAATTTTAACAGAAGGCATCCAAACTGAGAGACTTTTGGAATGTTGCAAACCAAGCAGTCAACCCAGATCTCATTATAAATAGTATCATTCTAATGCCGATCATCTTCCATCTGAATCGTTATCTGTTTTATCTCCATAAAAATGATGTTCAAATTATTAACACTGTTTTACTTCCTAATTGGCTAAGTAGATAGCTAGAATGTGAACTCCCAAACTCGGTTTAATTTTAACAGAAACAAAGGCTTTCCGATCAATGTTAAATTAAAGCTGTCATTCTGCCATAACATCATTTTGAAGGTTATAATGGACGCATGAATGCATTATTCTTCAAGGTGAGAACATTCTTCACTTTGTGCTTTCTAGCAGACAGTGCTTTTGTCAGCAGAATCTTTCTTCACTTTGTGCTTTCTAGCAAACAGTGCTTTTGTCAGCAGAATCTTTCTAAGCGGCTTAGAATTATAATCACTTTTTCTGTTTTTGAACGAAGATTCACAGAGGACTAATGATTATATGGTCCTAAGCATGAATAGCGGTCAGAATAAATTCACTTGACATTAACTTGTGTTTATGTGTTCACAGCAATAATACCAACATCAAGGTTACACATTGCCAACGGATATCCTTAAAATAAAAAAAAAATGAAAATGGAGAAATATGTGTGTCATTGTTTTTATTATACATAAATGTTATAATCTTAAACTGAGAAAAACAAAAATAGTATCACTGATACAGATCCGGTATAGTGGCACAACCCATATCCAGACAGGGATACAATATATTGACAAGACTTATGTATGACAAGGATACAAAACAGTGACAATACTTATCAATGATAAGGTTACACTATAGTGACAAAACTATATATATATATATATATATATATATATATATATATATATATATATATATATATATATATATATATATATGTTTGTGTGTGTGTGTGTATGTGAATAAGACACGATATGGTGATTAACTCATATTTATGACAAGGATAAGATATAGTGATAAACTCATATCTGTGACAACGATACGATGTAGTGACATTCCGAGCCCCTAATGGAAGTTTTCAAGGGCACTCGCCTTTAATATTCCTACTTACATGTCTCACCTCTGTCAACTTAAGTTCGAGTCTCGGCTTGTCTGATATGGGTATGTTAGTAAATTAGTCAGTAGCTACATGTGCATACATATATACCTACATATAAGCCTGCCTACGTACCTACCTACCTAAACATACACACATACATACCATACATACATACATACATACATACATACATACATACATACATACATACATACATACATACATACATACATACATACATACATACATACATACATACATACATACATACAGACAGACAGACAGACAGACAGACAGACAGACATACATACATACATACATACATACATACATACATACATACATACATACATACATACATACATACATAGGCAATGACATATGCATTAGCTTCCATTGCATAAAGATGTTTTACAAGTTGTGTAAGTTTAAGAACACATCAGAGAAAATGCACAGAGTAACTCAGATTTAAACCATGCAAAGTTAGAGAATTATTGAAATTATCCAAGGCTAAACATGCAAGAATATTAACGACGTTTATATCTGTTATGAATGACCTGTGTTGTTTTGTTTTCTTTAAATCTACAGAAATACCAATATACATAGTTGCATATCAGAAATCACAATTAATTTGATCGGCAAGTTTATCATTCCAGTCTTAAATGAAGTAGGTTACGCTGCAAGGTATATCGCGTACACGCACCTACGGATGAGTGGATTAGAAAAGGCTCATATTTTGTATTGGAAAGCCTCAAAACTAATCAAAGAAGTGGCTTGTAACGATCGAGTTCATTGCATCTGCAATACAATTAGTATTTTTTCCACAGAAGAAAATCTGCAAATGAAATTAACAAACTCCAGCATTTCTCGCAATTTGGCATCTTGGAGGTGAGCTCTTCAAATACCAAACTTCAACTTCATTAGTCTGATAGCCATTCCCTTTTTTTGTATTCAGTTACAGGAACAAGAAATGCGATGCTTTTGTATAACTGTTCCAAAATCAAATAATGCAGTATAAAGGAAGAGATGTCATATGGAACGTGCCAGCATCTCTTCATATTGTTTTTTTTTTAGTGTTTTTTTTTTCAAGAGAACCAGCTTTCGTGACTAAAATGATGTTGAAGAGATATCTGAAAATGATGCATCCGAGTAATTTATCCAGTACACGTCTTCAAAATCATCAAGCATTTCATCGAAATAAGTAATGAAATGCTACTGTTATTACACATTGCCCATTAACTATAATTAAGTCCGTAAATTTTGATGGAAACTGCGAATCATTCTTAATTAATTTTTTTTCACAAACACAAGGTAAAGTGTTCGCAGTATCTGAAACTAGATTTCTGTAAAGCAATCAATTTCAATATTTTTAAAATGTGTTTTATCGCAGTCATTGGCATGTTATATTTATTGGAATTCGATCTTGGCTTTTGGTATAACAATGCTGAATGAAGCATACTCTGTAATCAATAATCATAGATTCTGAACTAAACAAACCCTGAAAATATCGTCATTGATGCTTTTTATGTTAGAATCAAACATGCTTCTATGACTAATTAAACCTTTTTATTAGTTCCAACAATATATATTGTGGTATATATGGGTTTTTGTTTCGTATCTAGGAGTGACCTCCAACGATGAAATTTGTCCGGTATCGAATAAGCTACTACAAGTAGGAATTTATGAATGGAATAAAGAATTAATCTGAGCTAATATATAGAATATATATATAAATAATTCGAGCCTCCGTTACTAGTAAAGACAAAATTTAATAAAAGTTCAAGCAATAAAAATTTCCAAGAGTAAATAATATGAAAATTACAGTTCGAAAGATACACTTCTTTCTTTACGTATTACTAATTAAGGAATTTCAAAAATACAATGACATTATAAGATTAGCTGATTCTGTTTAAGATAGAATCCAAAAATCGTCATTTACGAGTCCAAGAATATCGAATAACACTGCCTTGCATCAATTCATAACCTGTTGACCGATTCTGTCCCACAGGTCCTCTTAGACTTTACTTCGGTTCCATTGTTTCAGTACATCTTCCGTTCCACTTTCTTTCGTTCCAACAATTCTAGATGCCTTTCCTTTTGTTCCAAACTGTCCTTTCCCTTCCCACACTGTTTGGATTTTAATGGCTTTTCAGACTATCTCACCTTATAAAAATATAAACAAACAACCTAAATCTTCCGTCACATTGTATGGAAATACTTAATTAGTCTGACCCTTCAAGGTCAGAAATTAACTCTATCGACTTTCAAGCAGTCTTTTTCGACTAGTTCCTGAACTAATGATCTGCGAATGGCCATTTACGCCACATGTGGCATTAGCCCCTTTCACTCGGCCTCGTTACATGTAAATGAATGAAATTCCTCACTATACATCAAGGCTACCATTATACATAATAGATTCGTTCGGATAGTTCCGACTACTTCCGTAACATCAATCATCAATTCATCAATTGACTATAAATACAATATTATCAGCTAAATGAACTCAACACGGTTGTGTCAGATACATAATTCGGTATATACAATAAATATGAATTCAACATGCTCAATTCCTACAATAATCAAGATTATAGCTTAGAAAATCGCCAACGCTAATGTAAAAGGAAATATCCCTGCGCGGGCTCAGATAAACAAACTATACACAAATATACCATATCAAGAAAATTAATCTACCACTCAATAAATAAATTCCTGCAAATGCATGCTTCTACAAGCAATTAAGTCATAGCATTAACGACGGATAAAAATTCCTGCAAATAGAAGTACCAACAAGCAATTAAATCATAGCATAACAGAAGTATATGAGATTTATGTAATTAACTCCTTTTTCCTGCTTTTTGTGTCAGTATAAACCTTCAGACAAACGTCTCTCCCTTAGATTACAATTATTTATCAAGAAGTTTACTCTTTGTAATTCTCAGAGCCTCCGATCTTATTTTATTTCTCTCTCGCAGAGAAGTGTAAACTAAAGTTTCAGAATCCGTCAAGTACTTTTAAACTTAAGATTTTCGGTTTTAACTACGCCCCCTTCCACAGCGTGACCAGTCATATTAGCAATAATTCCCGCCTTTCCGGTACTAAACACTGCGTTATTTCAACCAACAAAGGTCTACGACAGTGCTGTCTTCTACAATCAATTCTAAGCCGAACTAAACTTGAAACCCGCTCGGTAAGTCAGCACTTAATTAAAAACTAATAACTTCTGGCCCCACCCGAACTAATCTGTACTTTATGGCTTGTACAAGAGGACCTTTTCCACATAAATCTCATTAATGGTACATGTATTCAGCAAAGTGTGTTCTACCATAATTAATTATAACAAGCAAAGATTGACCTAAAAATTTGGTCTTTAACATACATACATACATACATACATACATACATACATACATACATACATACATACATACATACATGCATGCATGCATGCATGCATGCATGCATGCATGCATGCATGCATGCATGCATGCATGCATGCATACATACATACATACATACATACATACATACATACATACATACATACATACATACATACATACATACATACATACATACATACATACATACATACATACATACATACATACATACATACATACATACATACATACATACATACATACATACATACATACATACATGGAGACTATATCCTACATACCGTATATAC